CGCTCAGTGAGCTCTTGTATCTGTTTGGTCTATATTTTTAGTTCTAACGGAATATACCAATAAGATGCAAGCGCTCACTGAGCGCTCAGTGAGCGGCTGTAGTACTGAATGCACCCATTGAAGATAGAATGATACAAGTAGCAATGGCTGCGTTCAGCAGAACGTTTGTTTTGCAACTGTTGGAAGTTTCCTTCGCGCTAATTGGATCATACTTTTAGATCTAGAAGAATGGTCCTATCTCAGCAGATAATCATAAAACGGTTGCAAAACTGTTGAGTCTGCTGAACGCAGCCATTAATAGTGGCTGTGTTCCAAAATTGACTGTCGGTACTGAAAATCTATATAGTTTACGTCACGAACACTATAGATTTTCAGTACTGACAGTAAATTTTAAAATACAGCCTATGTGTCTAATAATAATTAGACACATTTCGTACCCAATAGTGATACAACGCATGCGGGAAAATTTTGGGCGAGTATTTCGCTGGTAGTTCGCGACGAACTGTTTTGGCAAATGGGTTTTTTCAGTGAATTAGTTCATGTGAATTAGTTCACTAAGGCTGTGTTCCAAATTTACTGCCAGCACAGAAAATGCTACAGTTTACGTTACGTGCACTATAGATTTTCAGTACTGGCAGTCAATTTTGGAACACAGCCTAAAAAGAACTGTTTTTCCCATCTCTAACACAAACTATTGCATGGTATTAATTCCACCATGGACTATAGAAACAGTTTTTGTATTGTTCGAAGAGATGGAAGAACCTCTCTCTCAAATATAAATCTTGAAACTCGAAACGCTATTACCGAATTCAACTTTCGTTTGCATATCAATCATCAATCATATTAAACATAAACTATTCGTGTTTTGTTGTTGCAATATTTTTTTGCATTGAATGACGCGTTTAACCTCCTCGCACATGAAGACAACGCAAATGCAATGACCAATGTTTTTGGGTGTGTGATAGCGTATATGTGTGTGTATATACATATATATATATACACGCCATACGTGTCACACACACATAATATACATATCCAAACGGATTTTCTGATTCCTAACCTTTTCCTCACTTATGTTACCAGGCCATTCTTATCTCTTTTACTTAATGAATACGGTTGAAAAATTAATCACAAATAAATTATTAGATTAATTGTATTTTATAATAAAAATTTTGTAAGCAATACTATACAATGTTTTCTTTGTGTGTGAATCTGCAAAATGTTCTAACAATGGATAACTATTGAAATACTAATTAGACATTTTATTTCAGACATTTGTTAATATGTTCATGCATAAACAATATTCAAATCCTTAAATTTATATATAAAACACTTGTTTTATTTGTGTGTTCATCACGTACAATCATATTTTTTATTTAATTTAAATTACGACATTTCGTTTTGTAGGTATTAACTATAAAAACAGTAATAATGGATACTCTATTTGCTCCAAATGTTCCCGATGAAGCAGAAGATATACCGCCAACGGATGAGCCAGTTTGGATCCTTGGCAGGAAGTATAATGCTATAAAAGGTCTAATAAATGATCAGAATGTAAATATTTTTGGTGAAATAGTTTGTAAGATGTTAAATTTTAGAGCTCGATGCAATACGCAGGGATATACGTTCCAAACTATGGTTCACTTATCGTAAAGGGTTTGTTCCCATTGGAGGCTGCAATTCTACATTTACATCTGATAAAGGTTGGGGTTGTATGTTGAGATGTGGACAAATGGTTCTAGCCCAGGCTTTAATTACATTACATTTAGGTAATCATTCATATGCATGTGATATTTTAATTATGTAGATAATAAATTTAATGTATAGTCAAATTTCTTTTTTTTCTTTGTCATTAAGGAGTTTTTGCAATACTATTTCTCTAGATACGGTGAATGCTAAAGTCATGTTATCTTCTAATTAAGAAACAACTAATTAAGAAAAGGATAATATGACTTTAGCGTTCACCATATCTGGATCTACGTTACTGCAAAAACTCTATTGTCAAAACAAGTTCAACGTGTTATAAGACCATCAAAGATTGTTTGGACATTTAAGGAAAAACAGTACTTTTGTAATTCTCAAAATTATTTCTCAATGATTTCAAGAAAATTTCATTCTATATTTTCATAGTTTATTTTTGCATATACAAATAACTTCCCAGTTGTGTGTATCCTATTAAATATAATAAGTTACATAAACTAGATAAATGATTAAATTATTATATAGCATTTTACTTGTGACACAGGTAAAGATTGGCAATGGATGCCAGAAACAAAGAATAACACATATCTAAAAATTTTAAGACGCTTTGAAGATAAAAGGGCTGCTGCTTTCTCTATCCATCAAATTGCATTGATGGGTGCATCTGAAGGAAAGGAAGTTGGGCAATGGTTTGGTCCTAATACTATTGCACAAGTATTAAAGTATGTATTATTGAAGGAATTTTAAAATTAAAATTTTATTTTTTAAAGCATTTATATATTTAAAATATTATTTTAAATATCTTTAATATCTCAAAAATTTATATATCAAAAAATATTACAAAAGAAATATATTTTATATATATCAATGAAGTTTTAATAAATCGAAGTTTTCAATATTTTTCTTTTTTTTTTTTTTAGAAAATTAATTGTATATGACGAATGGAGCTCTCTCACTATACATGTTGCATTAGACAATACATTAATAGTTAATGATATTTGTAAGTATGTTATTGTATATATTAGTTGTATTAACATTATTTTATAGCAAAGAATAAGTAACAATAAGTTACAATTGTATATATTTAAACAAGAAATGTGTCTTTAGTCTATTATTAAGAATCAAGCGTATTAAATATGTGTACATCAATGCATTATTTAATATGTGTATATTAGTTTTATCGTATATTTTCTTTAAGTTTTTTACAAAATTACAAATAGATAAAAAATAAAATGAAACTAATCATAAAAGTTTATTTGCTTTTGCTATTGTTGCGTAGAGAGAAACTAATTAAATATGTTACAACTAAACAGTTATATACTTTACATTATAATTTTAATGACTATACAGTGAGACAATGTAGAGTAGAAGGTGGTGTAACAGCAGAAGCAGACGGAGAAATTCCCCTAAGGGCACCTAGCCAATGGAAACCTTTGTTATTATTAATCCCACTACGCCTTGGACTTAGCGAAATTAATCCTGTATACATTAATGGACTTAAAGTAAGAATTTTTGCATGTATAAAATATTAAATTTAAATGCTAACATGTTAATACAGATACAAATAGCTGTAAAAAAAAAACCATGTTACCATTGTGCTCCAATTTCAAGATGTGTGTGTATGTATATATACAGAGTAAAGAAAAAAAAACCGGAACCCTGAAATATCTCGAAAAATATATGTTTTATAGAAAACTGTTTGAGATGAAAGTTGTAGGATCTTTAAGATTTTCTATAAAACTTATATTTTTCGAGATATTTCGAGCTCCCGGTTTTTTCCTCACCTTGTTTATTATATATTGTGTGTGCGTGTGCGTGTGTGCATGCGCATGTATGTAATCATAATATATATACATATAATAATCTAAAATACAAATTGTAAATTTATAAAAAAAACTTTTCAGACATCATTTAAGATTTCACAATCTCTTGGAGTAATTGGAGGAAAACCAAATCTTGCTCTGTATTTTATAGGCTGTGTGGGTTTGTAATTTTTATAAATTTTCATATTTCACGAAGAGAAAAAGACATAAAAATAAAACGAATGCATAAAAAAATTGTTGGTTTTAGGAGATGAAGTGATCTATCTAGATCCTCATACCACTCAAAAATCAGGTAATATTGAAGACAAGATAAGCGAAGAAGAAATTGACATGGATATTTCATATCACTGCAAATCAGCTAGTCGTATTCCTATTACGGGCATGGATCCTTCTGTGGCACTTGTTAGTATATGATTTGACTTTTATTATAAAAGTCAACAAGAGATAAAAATTTAAAAAGAGTTGCTCTATGAAACAGAAAGAGAAAGAGGGGAGGTGATAGGGAGAGAATATTGGTACAATATAACATTTTTAACATATTATATATGAAATAGAATTATATCTTAAAAGTATAACGTATTAAATATTTGAAATATATTAGATTGTTATCATTTTTTGTTACATTTTATAAATACACATATGTATACAAATTGTATGTGATATATTGTGTAGATTATATTTTATTAACATATTAAAAATGGATCTATTAAATTTCAGTGCTTCTTCTGTGCTACAGAAAAGGAATTTAAATCTCTATGTAAATCAATGCAAGAGGAATTAATTTTGCCCGAAAAGCAGCCATTGTTCGAGCTGTGCACAGAACGTTTAGCACACTGGTCATCAGCAGATGATGCTGTTTCTGAAGCAGTAGCAGCTTCCAGTTGTAAGTACATATCTAGGTTACGTTCCATTATTTATTGCAACTACTAAAAATCTATAGAACACGTAACGTGAACTATAGGTTTTCAGTACTTACAGTGAATAACGGAACGTAGCTATAATTGTAGTTATAAACAGCAATTTATAGTCTTAAAAATTTTTCATTAGAAAAATAATTAGAATGTATTATTTTTTCATTAGAAAATGTGTGTAAATAAAAGTATAATATTTTAAAAGATTAAATATTATATAGAATCTCTTTTAAACATGAATATAATAATGTGATATTTGAAATATATAACTATGATTTTTTATGTAATACAAAATGTTAAGATAAAATAAAAAGTTAATAGTTTATGAGACATTTTATATTTTATTCTAACATGTTTTGGCATAAAATATAATTGATTAAAAAAGAACAAAACAGATAGATCCTACTAGAACAGGAACAAACGTGGTATATTTCTATCTGTTATATGCATATTTATAAATTAGTGTAATGAACAATGTAAAAATTATTTGATTTTGCCTTTGGATCCATATCAAAATAGGAAACTTTATTTGCATATATCTTTATATTTGTCGGTTTCAAATAGTTTTAAGATTATTGATAATTGATTTGTAAATAAAAAGTGCAATTTATTTACAAATAATTATTATATAAATATAATTCTTTGTGCAGTTGTGGACTTTGAGCACATTGAACGTCAATACGACACATCTGATGAAGACTTTGAACTGCTTGGTTGACGTATACCTAATCCATCTAGTATTCCGACAAGATGCGAAATAACAATTAAATATTACACAATGGTGTTCTTAAAGACGATTTGTATTTTCAACTAATTGTATAATGCAATATGTATGTATATATATATGTGTATATATATGTAAGTTTAGATTTATATTTGCGCGATATAATAAGCATCAATAAATACATACGTTTATGCTTTACAAAGATTTTGCATCACTGTGGTATTGCATTGATTATTTATCATTTTTATTTGATTACACATGTATAATATTTCTAAAATAAAAATATAAATTAAATAATTTTTTAAATAAAATCATATTATATTATGCTTAATTGAATAAAACAATTGCAATTAATATAAAGAGCTATGAGCAAAAAGCTAGATATTGTTTGCTAAAATTTAATAATCTATTTAAGCATCCAAACAGACGTTTCGACCACTTATCAGGTCGTTATCAATGTTGAATAAACAGATTACAAGAATTACCCTAAAAAAAAACTGTTACATTTCGATTTCGTCGTGTTAATTTAATAAAATCGTTCAATAAATTACAATAAATAAGGTCCCGTAGCCCTTTACATATTAGTTGTAATTGTTTTATTCAATTGAGCATAATATAATATTTTATTAATTCACGCGGGCGAGAATAATGCGTCTGATTAGTAATTCTTTTTTTAATTTCATTAGAACTAATTTCGGAACATATACATGTAATTTATTGAAGGAATGTATTAAATTAACACGGCAAAATCGAAATGTAACCTTTTTTTTAGGGTAATTCTTATAATTTGTTTATTCAATATTGATAATGACCCAATAAGTGGTCGAAACGTCTATTTGAACGTTTAAATAGATTATTAAATTTTAGCAAACAATATCTAGCTTTTTGCTCGTAACCCTTTACATATTAATTGTTTTTTTTTTTTTTTTTAAGTTTTTTTGAATGTAGATAGTTATGAACATAAAAAAATACAGTAATTTTATATCTGTAAGTCTACAGATATAAGAATATAAAATTCTAAGAGAAATTAAAGTTAACTGTATGTATGGGCGACATCCGATCCAGTTATTTTCTTGTATTTTATAAGATAAAGGAATCAAATATGAAAAATAAAATTTGTAAAATTTATTTAAAACATTGGGTGTTTAATTGAATGTAGTAGCTTCTCTCATAAACTATTTAAAAACTGACTCAGTTTAAATTTTAATAGTTCAAATTATTTTTTGGGTATTTACACATACATTAAAACTCCTATTTTTTGTGTGCTCATCACTACTATCTCAGATTGTAACTCAAAAGCAAGAAGACGCAATAAAGATTCTTGTAAATTATATATATTTGAAATATTTTTATACATAGAAATATTTTTTAATAAAATAATATTTAGAAGACTTATAAACTTATGCCGAAGAATGCCAATGGAATAGTTTTATAGTGAAAACTATCTTTTTATTTTGAGGAGAAATTAAATCATTTATTTCATTTTGGTTATACACAATTCATTTCCAGATACATAGTTTTATTTATTAACGAAACAAAAAGATAGTTTTCGATATATTTTACAAGTCGGTTCTATCAATCGTTGTAAATTAATGTTGTTTGATTGAACATTTCCATATTAATATATTTTGCAAAAATTTTTATTGTGTTTTTTCGCACTTCTGACGTCACAATCTGAAATAGTAGTAAGTGAACAAAAAACTTATATAATACTATTTGTAGTTGATTTATTTTGTTTGTCTAGTTTGTTAATAACACAAAAAGATCAGTCACTCTCAGTCAGACAATAATGAGTTCAAGTTCCACAATTGTCATGTGCGTCATTATTGACTTTTCTAATGCATAAGTATTAAAGGATAAAAGTCAATTGATAAGATTACAGAAATACTTCTTGTGTCCTTAATATTCAAGGTTTTTGTATGTTTCCTTAATATAAATTACTTAATATTAATTAATGTAGTAACAAAGCTAGAAATTGTAACGCTAATATTGCAATGTACTAAGAATAAATAATTTTAAGAAACAAAAACTCTGTATACAAGTTTTTGATAAGAGGAAACATAATTTTTTGCAATGCGTAGTATATATTATATTATTTGTTATAACTTTTATTATTGCGTTAAAATATTTTGGCATTTTGAAATGTTTATTCTATTAAGGGAATAGAGAGTGAAAAAAAAAGATTTCTAAAAAGATTCTGAAAATTTGTATAATTATATTTGAAATAGTGAAAAGAAAAAAAAATGGAAGGGTGAAAATCTCAAGTTTCGTTACTGTACACGTTACTGATAAGAGTATATATTTTGAGGAACGCAATTGGTCACTTCGTTAGTTCTATGTTGTCTCTTGTACTAGACGCATGCTCTTTGTGGAATATACGTGGACTGCGATAAGCATGTAAATCATTATCGTAATACTTGTCTGTCATACGCGACTAAAGACTTAAAGTTTCCTTTAATTTTCTTTAATTTTCTTAACAATATGTATGCGTTACATATTTCGACGATAAATTAACGATGGAAAGAAGATTTTAACATTAGGTTTGTAAATGGTGAATACGCATATTGTTATAAGTTATAAACGTAGAATTTAAGTCAATTTTTTATTAAAGAATTGTACTAAACGAGAAAACGGTAGAATTAATCTGAAATATTTATGGAGGTTATTTATAAATTTTTTAAAAATTTTATTGAAAAAACTTATTGGCATTTTCTTGTATATACAAATTATCTTTCGAAATGCATTTAAAAATATATGTAAAATGCAAAAGAATATTAATATCAAAATAAGGTCGTCTAGAAAAGTATTTTTTATGGAATACCTACTTTACATGTTAAATTAACAATATATTAGCATAAAATATCTTGGATATGAAAAATATTCTTATAACCCGGAAAAAAATATTTTATATATAATTGTATAAAAATATATATAATTTTATATAATTGTATATAAATGGACATATTTTATATAATTGTATATAATTATAAAGGTGTTTCATTTTAAGTGATATGATCGATTATCTCGCGAATCGATGATTTTATTGAAAAATTTTTCGAACGAAAATTGTGTGGCTTGAAGGGGGACACATGATGGAAATGTAGACTTGACCTTGAGTGACCTTGTCAAAATCAGGTCAAGTTCATTAATGTTTTTTTAAATGGAAACCCCTATTTTTTATTACATATTCTTGTAGCTTATCTCGAGAGCTTTCCAAAATACTCTTCCAAAACACCAAAGAAAAACTGTTAAAATAATACATTTAAATGAGTGTCGATTATTACTATTATTAGTTATCGCATCTGTTTCTCATTGCAGACTGCGCAAGAGCAAGTTGTCCCATGAAAGTATTTAAGTGACAGTTAAGTCTTTTCACAATCTACTTTGCAATTTAGAGTTGCAAATAAGTTGATATGATGACATCAAATATAAAATCTATTCTGTTTGCGTTTATAATTATTATGACATTCTCAGAAGGAAAATCACAATCCCGGCAGAACTTTTTTCTTCAAAACGATTTTATAAGTTTTCTGTTTCCTAAAGAACCTGGTTTGGTGAGAGTAAGAAGAATGGATCGAACTGAAAGAATAGATAACGCAAAAATATTGGATTTCGTGTGTAAAAATTGTTTTTTTAATTATATTGAATGCATTTTATGTGTATTAAGTTCATTTCATCCTTGCAGCTCTGTGATAAATATATAGTTTAAGTTTATTTAAATTTATTTTATTTTATATATACACAACTTGACCGTTTTAAATTATCATCGTTAAACTAACAGTCTCTGAATATTGTATAAATTTTTTGACATTTAGAACAATAAATCATAGAGATGAAACAACGATATCCCATGGATGTCACATACTATTCTTTTACATAGGTTGGCATGGTAGAACAACATGATTATCCCGCTGAAGAACATAATGTCACAACAGAGGATGGTTATAATTTGATAATACACAGGATACCTGGAAGTCCATTATTGGATAACAATAAGGGAAAAAAGGAAATTGTTTTTATTCAACACGGTATTTTGGCTTCATCTGATAGCTGGATATTGCACGGACCTGGTAAAGATCTTGGTGTGTACTTATTATTATATGTATGGTATTATAATATATTCAAAACACTGTGTGCTTTAAAATTTTATCATACAGCACTTTTGTGAAAAAGATTTTACTTTCAAATCTTATAAACTTGAAATTACTAATACCTTGGTTTTTTATATAAATGCGTTCTTAAATTTTTTTTAAAATTATTTTATTTATTATAAAAATGCCAAAGTGATAGTATTTAGTAGATTATTTTAATATATAAACACATTCACAAGCCGTATACTGTTAAAAATAAAAATGTTTTTCACACATAAGTTAGATTTCAAAGAGGTGCAAAGAGATAATGGAGCTTTAGTTATCTTTTAATTTTAAATGAAATTAAATAGAATGTGAAGTTTAGTCATTTTAAAGCATGGCATATATTAAGGTTTTACAAGTCATAAAATATAATGATATTTTGGATGCTTAGAAAAATTGATGTGGTAAATATTTGCATTAGGGCCCTCCCCCCAATGATCTTGACCTTGACATATATTATCAAGGTCATGACCCTGAGTGACCTCTAACAGTTTTAGCCGTTGCTCGTTATTCGTTAAAAAGTTATTAACAGTCAAAATTAGTAATTATTTCTCTTCTTTACATGAAAAGTCAGATAACTTTACGAAGGGAGGCTCCGGAGTAACCCTTACCGATTTCAATGAAATTTGGCAGGATTGTAGAGTATGTTCCCCTAAATAAAAATCATCCCCCATGTGGGCGTAAACAGTCTACTGTTTCCGAGATATTTCAATATTAAAATTAATAACAGCATTTCCTTTAGAGTTTATTTGAACGTTCATGCTCGAGTATTTATAGTGTAGTGGATATGATAACAACCTCTCCATATAACACAAAATTTGCAACAATATTGCTGTAAAATCTCCGCAATATTGTTGCAACATGCAATGTTGCTGCAATGTTGCAACAGTATTGCTGCAACTTTTGTATATTATTGCAGAGATTTTGCAACAATATTGCTGTAAATTCTGTGCTGT